AAGCTTTTTAACATAAGCAATAGGGATGGGAAGAAAAGCACCTGTTATGTACTCGGTGTTATAACAGGTGTTTTCACACACACAATCTCGTCTAAACCTCCCCCTTCCCATCTCCCGGTGGTGTAAGATCCTGGGCGCTCAGGCCTAATTGCCTAGGCCAAATCTTGCCTCTCCTTCTTGTTGACTGTGTGAATTTAGACAGGATTCTTAACTTCTCTGAGCTTCTGTCTCATCCAAAATAAAGAAGATAGTAATCCTGTAAGGCAGATGGGAGAGTAGAATAAGTTAATGCAGATAAAGCAGTCAGCACAGTGCACGGCACACAATATGTTCCTAATAAATTTTAACTATTCTTATTATTTGGTGTTATTCCAGTTTTATAGATGAGGATCTCATAAATCTGAAAGAAATGGATAGCATTAGTTTAAAAATGCTTTCTTATGGCAAAAGAGCTCTTCCTGGAGAAGCTCTAAGCAGTGTTTCTCTGACTTTTTGACAAGAAGACTTGATGCAGATTCATTCATTCACTCATTCACAGTGATGCCTACTATGTGCTGAGTTCTAGTGTAGTTGCTGGGGGTTCAGCAGTGAACTCTTGCCAGGTCTGTCTCTGATCTCATGGAGTTTACTCTCTAGTGGGGGGGTGACAGACGGTACAAAATACAAACATGATCGTTTCCTATAGCAATGAGTGGTGTAATGACAGTATGGCAGGGTGACGGGATCCCGAATGTGGCTGGGCTGTTGTTGTGAGAGCATTCAGGCAAGTCTCCGGGGAGGTGCTGCTTGGGTTGAGATCTGAATATTGCAAGGAGATAGCCTGCCGTGTGAAGACCTGGGGGATGTTCCTGCGAGAGGGAACAGTGAGTGACAAAGAAGGAACTGAGCATTTTCCAGGAGTAGAAGGCAGGCCTGTGTGGCTGTAGGGTGGTGAGGGGAGAATGAGGGAGCTGCGGTTGGAGAAGCGGGCCAGAACCAGATCATGTAGAGCCTTCTGGCCATGATGAGGAGTTTGGATTTTATAAGAGCAGTGGCACACTCTTGGAGGGTTGAAGCAGGAGAATGTCATATTCTTACTCTACTGTTGTTATTCATGTAGTTGATTCTACATAAAGTAATGAAAAGATTCTGAAAAAGTTTTATGTAAACCAAGTTAATAAAAAAAATTTAAAATCAAAAGGGAAGCCAGGTTTCTGCAGTAAATTTGATGGAAACCTTTCTATCAAGAAGTAAGTGGTTTATAATCAAACTTCAGCAACCGAAATTATCCTACCTTCTACACTCCTTTTGGCTAATCTGATCCTTCTCAACCCATATTAAGTTCCATCTCCGCTGTCGTTACCTTTCCATATCCCTCTCTCCCTCCTGCCTGCCTCTCTTTTTTCATCCATCATTACTTCCCTTATTTGGTTCTTTCATCTCCTATGACAGCGCTTGTTATCCAGACCTTTTTAACCACACTTTCAGGAATGCTAACTACAGGGAAGATTGCATTATAATTCCAAAATTTAAACTCTTCAACCTGGCATTCAAGAGTAATCAGTTGATCAGTCTTAAATCAGTAAAGACTGAGCACCTAAACAAAATCAAACTAAACTAGTTGCCATGGAGTCGACTCTGACTCATGGCGACCCCATGTGTGTCAGAGTAGAACTGTGCTCCATAGGGTTTTCGGTGGCGGATTTTTCAGAAGTAGATCAGCAGGCCTTTCTTCCAAGGTGCCTCTGGGTGGACTGAAACGTCCAACATTTTGGTTAGCAGCAGAGCCCGTTAACTGTTGACACCACCCAAGGACTCCTTACTGACTATCAACTGTGTGCCAAATTCTACACTAGACAATAAAGATTCAAATGTAAGTAAATTTCCTGCCTTTGAGCAATTTACTATCTAGTGTGATAGACAGACTTGTAAACTGATGACTCATTGTTTGACTGATAGATTCATTCATTCATTCATTCATTCAGTAGACGTTTACTGCATGCCTTCTGGCTATCGGGAAATTTTTCTTCTAGGGGATACATCCTGAATAAGACAGATAAGGCCCTTATGGGGATTACATCCTATTGGGATTGAATGATCATGAGAAAGATTTAGATGAAGAACATTTATTTACTGAGTGCTGCCAGTAGTGAAGTACTGTGGTAACGGTATTCTGCATGCATTACTTTACCGAATCCATACAAGCACGTTATTGTTGTGTTGCTGTTAGGTGCTGTCATCAGTTCTGACCCATAGAGACCCCATGTACAACAGAACGAAACAGTGCCTGGTCCTGTGCCATCCTCACAGTTGTTGCTATGTTTGAGCCCATTGTTGCAGCCACTGTACGAATCCCTCTTGTTGAGGATCTTCCTCTTTTTTGCTGACCCTCTACTTTAGCAAGCATGATGTCCTACTCCAGGGACTGGCCCGTCCTGATAACATGTCTAAAGTACATGAGACAAGTCTCGCCATCCTCGCTTCTAAGAAGCGTTGCAGCTGTACTTCTTCCAAGACAGATTTGTTCATTTTTCTGGCAGTCCATAGTATATTCAATATTCTTCACCAACACCATAATTCAAATGTGTCAGTTCTTCGCCATTCCTCTTCAATTTGTCATTTCAGGCATAGTAGACCTTATGATTGTCTGATTCAGAATGGCCATTACCAGTCCATTTCAGCTCACTAATGCCTAGGATATCGATCTTTATGTGTTCCATTTCATTTTTGACAACTTCCAATTTTCCTAGATTCATACTTCGTACATTCCACATTGCAGTTATTATTGGATGTTTGCAGCTATTTCTTCTCATTTTGAGTCATGCTATATCAGCAAACGAAGGTCCCGAAAGCTTGACTCCATCCACGTCATTAAGGTCAACTCTACATTGAGGAGACAGCTCTTCCCCAGTTGTGTTTTGAGTGCCTTCCAACCTGAGGGACTTAGTTTCTGATACCATACCAGACAACATTCCACTGCTGTTCGTAAGGTTTTCACTGGCCAGTGTTTTCAAAAGTAGACCACCAGGTCCTTCTTCTAGTCTGTCGTAGTCTGGAAGCTCCACTGAAACCTGTCTATCATGGTTGACCTTGATGATATTTGAAATACTGGTGGCATAGCTTCCAGCATCACAGCATCACACAAGCCACCACAGTACGACAAACTGACAGACACTTGGGGGGGCGGAGTCTAAGTTTACTCCTTGGTAAAGTGACTCGCCTAAGGCACCCAGCAGGATGACTGGTGGAGCTGTGACTAGAGCACAGGTCCCCTGACTCTGATGACAGTGCTCCTGGTCCTGCAGTTTGCTGCTTTGGTTCAGCCAACACTACATGTTCCTTTCCATGCTCCTTGGCATTCTGTCAAGGTCTTTTCATTAGTACTTCTGCCTTCCAGGACACTAGCAGTGTTTGTGGTGATAGCCAGGCAGAATGTGAAGGCCCTTCTGAATCCTCAAAGGAACATTAAATTATGTCCAGTATACTTTGGTATCAGATATATTTTATTGTATTTTCTAGAGCTGCTTTTTATTACCCCCATCCCTATTTTCTTGCTCAGAATAGACTACAAGTAGGAAGTCCCTGCTTTTCTCCTCTAGGTCCACTCAGCATTTCCCAGCCCTGCCTGATCATAAGAAAATCACTTAGGTGTTGTTAAAATTATAGAACTCCGGAGCCTGCTTGAGTCATACTTCATCAGAATCTTCCTGGGAGGGGCTGGGGACCTGTATTTTAAGTTATCTTTGATCATGATTCTCCATAACCTACTTCACAAGTTCTGAGTACAGCTGGTCCCTTTCCCCTTGGTCCAGTTTTGCCTTCTTTAAGACCCTAGTTCATAATTACATCATAATCCTATCTTTCCATCTAAAGGCTTATCTTCTGGTCTGCAAAACTTGTCCTTGAAGGAGGAAAGAGGGAATATTTGCTTTCTTCTTACCTCTTGGGTAGAATTTTACTGGACAAGGTGGGTGTATAGACAGGTTAGTATGTATAGTGGTGGGATGAGCCTTGAAGAAAGGTTAAGGGGTCGCCTCTGGAACCAGAATAGAATGCCTGGGCTTTTTTTCTGGCTTTATTACTTAATAGTTGTGTAATCTTGGGCAAATTTGCTTATCCTCTTTGAACTTTGTTTCCTCCTCAGTAAAACAAGGTAAGAACAGTACTTGTTCATGGGTTTTGTGTGCATTAAACAAAATGTCTTAGTCTGGTTCTCGGACACAGACTCAGATGGAGATTGTCCTGCAGAGGATGATGGGAGAAAACTCTCAGAAACAACTCTTTCGAAGGAGTGAGGGAAACAGCATTAGGAAGAGGTGAAGTTGAACTGTGATGCAATTATGAAGGCCTCAGCTTATCCTATGGGAGCTCTGGAAGTGAGATGCCCTTCAGAGTTGTTCCAAATTGAGGGAAGGGGGGCCAGGCCTTTATACCCCTATATCTGCCAGTCACTGGATGTGGGCTGCCCCTGGAGAGGGCACATGCCTTAGGTTAGGCAGCTCCCTTTGGCTGCGTGCCGCTGTGATCATCAGCAGCCTGCAGTCCTGGCAGCCGGTGGAAGGAGCTGCTCAGTTCTGAAGGGGAACTCAGAGGCACATTACAGCATCCACTACACAAGGTAATGCACATAAAAACCTTAGCACCTAACCTAGCACATTTATAAGTGTTCAATAAATATTAACTATTACCATTGTTATTCTAGCTCTGGCAATGCCACTTAGTAGCTAAATCACCTTCAAGAAGTTACTTAACTTCTCTTAGGCTGTTTTCTTGTGGTTCAAGTGGAGATCCTAAACTCTGCTCTGCCTCCTTCCCTGAGTAGTTCTGAGCACACATGGAGATAATGTATGTGCAGTTGCTGAGTAAAACGGTATAAAGATGCAAGGTACGACTGTGAGCCTACTTTGCTGAAATGAATATGTGGTCATGAATTGGATTCCTTAAGGGAAAAGGTTGTGATAAATGTAAAAGTGCTTGTCTGTGAAATATGGCATTTTGATTTTTATTTCTTTCCTATACAGGGAATTAGAATAATGGAGATGTTGCTAAAGGAACAGTGTGGTGCCCCCTTAGCCGAATAAAGAATCATCAGTGAGTACCCAAAGAAAAGTCAGAATTATTTACTGGAGCCACGTTCTCATGCTTATAAGCTAGGCATTATGCACTGGCCTCCCTGGGCCATTCATACCGTATGTGTCCTAGTTATATGCGTGGAGTACTGTTTCACAGCTGTTTCGCTATCTGTTCAGTACCTTTATTTACTTGGTTCTTTGATTTTCACAGCAGTTTTGCACTACCTGCTGGGTTACAGCTGCATTCAAATTGTTAAAACTGTTTAGCACAACCCACCGTGATTGTGACCCCCAAGGTGGCATACATTTGTAAAGACTGCAGCTCAAGATTAGCTAAAGCTTAATTTTATTGTTCGAGAACAATAAATGGAGAGATTGAAAGCTGTAATTGGTGCAAAAGGAAAACAAGTAAGGGGTATGTTGATTGACCAGTGAAATAAATATATTTTATCAGTCATATATACTCTCAGAATGCTATTGAGAAGGATCCCAAGGCCTTGAGAATAATTTCCAGGCTTTGGGTGAGAGTACCTTGATTGATTAGCAATGTCTGCCATGGGCACAGGATGGAAGAAGGACAGCGTTTGTGTTGGAGCACATTCCACCTCTAGTTTAGGGCAAATGGTGTAGAGTGAACGGGTAACAAGGAAATTGCAGAACTATTCAACCCCCCCAATTTCTGTTGTCTGCATCAGGGAGAATGGTCTTTGTATTGGAAACGGGAGAACAAAGTTATTTAAGAGAGAATCGAAGCTCCGAATAAAAATATAGTGGATTTGCATCTTATTGGAAACTGTTAGCCAAAGAAGCAGCAAAAGGACCATTTATATACAATTATCTTGGCCTTCAAAGCATGCTGGCCAGGCCCGTGAGTGGACATTGGTTGGAGAAATGAAAAGTAGTCTTGCTTGTTTGCAGGTTTGCCTCCATTCTGACTAATATTATCAGTTGCTGTCAAGTCGATTCCAACTCATGGTGACTCCACGTATGTCAGAGTAGAAATATGCTCCATGGGTTTTCAGTGGTTGATTTTTTAGAAGTAGATCATCAGGCCTTTCTTCTGAAGTACCTCTGGGTAGATTTGAACCTTCAACCTTTCAGTTAGCAGCCCAGTGTGTTAACCCACCCAGGGACTAATATTAAGCCTCTGTAAACTTAACAAATAGTTGTAGATATTTGTTACTGGAAACATAAATGAGGTAATTTCATTTAACTCAGGCTTGGCACATGCAGGAGCTCACAGAATGTTGGAATTGAATCTAAATATGGTTTGCTCCTATATCCACTCTATTCTTGGAAAAGTTGTAGAGAAGAGCTTGACTACATCTCCCTGTTTTTCCAGGCTGGTGTTTTTTATGAGGCTCATTAAAAAAAAAAAGAAAAAGAAAAAACAAAACAGGTTGCCATAGAGTCCATTCCAACTCATGGTGACCCCATGTGTTTCAGAGAAGAACTGTGCTGCATAGGGTTTTCAAGGCTGTGACCTTTTGAAAGCAGATTGCTAAAGCCTTTCTGAGCTGCCTCTGGGTGAGTTCCAACCACCGACCTCATTAAGCACCTCTTATGCTCATGCCTTTGGGCACAAATCCCACCTTACTCTGAGGACTGGGGTCTAAAGTCAGCTCCAAGTTAAATGCAGAAATGAGGGGATCCATTCTTGGGAATGGTGTATACTTGGTGATTTTCAGTCTTTAAATCAGTGTCTTTCAACTTTAGCAAGCATCAGAATTATCTGAAAGACTTATTAAGCAGATTGCTGGGCTCCACCCCCAGAGTTTCTGATTCAGCAGGTCTGGGACAGGGGGCCTGTAATTTGCATCTCTAACAAGTTTCCAGGTGATGTTGATGCTGCTGGTCCAGGGACCACACTTTGAGAACAAGCTCTAAGGGCGTTCACATCTCTGGCCTGAGACAGATTAAATGCTTGGGCGTGGAGAAAGCAAATAACTGAGTTTTTAGAAATCTTTGTCATAAATTCAGTCAACTGTAGATTAAATCAGAGGAATGATTTCCTTTGTATGGCCTTTTCCCTGATTTTCAGCCTCTTGCTTTTATGTTGATAGGCTCATACTGGAGCAAGACAACTGAAAACAGAGGAGACTCACTCCAACGTGTGTTTTAAATCAGTTTCAATTTAAAGTCTTGCTAGTGAAGATGCAGAAATGAATCACTTCAGACAAGTTTCCAGTATTACCTATTGTCTTAAATTACCCTTTTTTCTTCTCTCTCTCTTATTTTTTTGCTGTAGTTGAGGACTAAGTCATAAACTCAGGGCTTTTTTTTTGTAAATAAAGTTTTATTAAAACACAGCCATGCTCCTGGTTATGTTCAGGGTACAAAAGCAGAGTTGCAGTTATGACAGAATGTTTACTATCTGCCCCTTTAAGGAAAAGCAACTTATTCTCCTCTCTTAAGTGAAGTGGCTGAAGTCTGGATACTATGTGGAGTTTAGTGCCAGGCATTTGCATTCAATGCAGTGCAGTTCCTGAAGGATTTACATATTTCAAACTCTTATAATTCATGACCAGTTTTCTCAGAGGAGCACATGGAAAGTAGGGGGTATATACTTTTACCATGTAAATCTACAATTACTGTAAATCAGAAGGTATTGCTGGGGCTTTAAGCTTTTTTCAAATCAACTTTATTGAAGTATTACATACAGTTAAATTTACCATTTTCAAGTGTATAATTTGCTGAGTTTTAACACATATATACAGTTGTAAATCATCACCATAGTCATGATATAGATAGTTTCGAGGCTTTGATGTTGCAGCCATGTTGACAGCTTATTCTTCCCTTTTTTTGTTTCCATTTTCTTGACTAGTTTTACAGAGTTTTTGCAAACTTAAAATATGCCTGTTTTAATGCAACTTTTTGATTTTTCAAAATTAGTTCTTAAGGGAAATGGGAGAGTGGTGGTAGGTGGGGGAAACTACTGTTTTTTATAAGCAAAAAAAAAAAAAAGCTACATTAAAAGAAGGAAAAATGAGTTCTATAGTTATAGAGTAGGGATTGGCAAACTACAGTACCTGGGCCAAATCCAGCCTGCTACCTGCTTTTTTTTAAAAATTGTACTTTAGGTGAAGGTTTACAGAACAAATAGTTTCTCATTAAACAGTCAGTACACATATTATTTTATGACATTTGTTAACAACCCCACGACATGTCAACCCTCTCCCTTCTTGACCCTTTTTATTTTGGGGAAAATATACATAGCCAAAGATACACCATTTCAAAAATTTCTACATGCACAGTTCAGTGACATTGACTACACTCTTCCAATTGTGCTGCTATTCTCACTTTAGATGAAGGTTTACGGAACAAAATAGTTTCTCATTTAACAGTTAGTGCACATGTTGCCCTATGACAATGGTTAACAACCCCACTACATGTCAACACTGTCCTTACTCAAGCTTGGGTTCACTATCACCAGCTTTTCTGTCCCCTTCTGCCTTCTAGTCCTTGTCCCTGGACTTTTGTGCCTCATTAGTCCCATTTTGTTTTATGGGGCTGTCCAGTCCTCGGCTGAATGGTGAACTTCGGGAGTGACGTCACCACTGAGCTAAAAGGGTGTCTGGGGGCCATACTCTCAGGGTTTCTCCAGTCTCTGTCAGACCAGTAAGTCTGGTCTTTTTTTTTTTTTTTTTTTTTGTGAGTTAGAATTTTGTTCTACATTCTTCTCCAGCTCTGTCCAGAACCCTTTGTTGTGATCCCGGTCAGAGCAGTCAGTGGTGGTAGCTGGGCACCATCTAGCTGCATTGGACTCAGTCTGGTGGAGGCCTTGGTGCCTGCTACTTGCTTTTGTAAATAAAGTTTTATTTAAACACAGACATGCTCCTGGCTATGTTCAAGTTACAGAAGCAAAGTTGCATAGTTGTAACAGACCCTATAGCCTGCAAAGGCTAAAATGTTGACTATTTGCCTCTTTAAGAAAAAGCTTGCCACCCCATGGGTTAGACCATGCTCTCTCCTAAACTAATGTCAAGGAATTTTGTGTGGTTGTTTGGCCTTTTAACGTATAATATTTGATTATGTCTTATCTCCATTCAAAGTTAATAGTTTGACAGTTTATTTTCCTTGCATTAGATCTTGTGTCATCCAAAAACCAGACCAAACCTATTGCTGTTGAGTCGATGCTGACTCAAAGTGAAAGTATAGGACAGAGTAGAACTGCCCCATAGGGTTTCCAAGGAGCACCTGGTGGATTCGAACTGCTGACCTTTTGGTTAGCAGCCATAGCTCTTAACCACTACGCCACCAGGGCTCCAAGTGTCATCATTTGGGTCATGTTTTTTAAGGCATAAAAAGCTTTAAAATTATAATAATGAAAGTTAAAATACCAGTAACAGTGGTCACTAAAATTGCTCATAAAGTTTCAATTTATTTGCACAATGGAGTAGAAATGTAGGCATTTTGTTTAGCAGATAAGAGGCACTGTGATGTGGCAATAGTATATAGTTTTTGTTAGCTGCTATCAAGTTGGCCCCCAATTCGTGGTGATCCCATACACAGCAATCCCATTGTGATCCATAGGGTTCTTACTGGCTGATTTTCAGAAGTAGATTGCTGGGCCCTTTTACCTAGTATATCTTAGTACTGGAAGGTCTACTGAAACCTCATCAGCATCACAGTAAGACAGAAGCCTCCACTGACAGATGGGTGGTGGTTGCACATGAGGCATTAGCCAGGAATCGAACTCAGGTCTCCTGCATGGATCATGAGAATTCTACCACTGAACCACTACTGCCCTCCTGGCAATGGTATAGGTGCTGTTTACGATTTATTCGGTATGCCAGCTTTGGAATTTTGCAATTCTTAACTTTTTAAAACATTTTGTGGGATTTGCACAAATACACGTAGACATTATTTAATATTCCTATATCCTACCACATTTCACATTTGCACAGTTTAAGTTGTATATGGTACACAGCTCTAACGATACTTCTTAGAACTCTCATCTGTATATCTAAGCAGGTGTTTGAAAATTAGACAGCTTAGAAGGTGATTTTGTCATGAGCCAAAATGGAAGGGCGTAAATCTCACTAACCAGTATGCTTGTGGTGTTGCTGCTGACACATCAGTTTGATAGATTTTTGATTTCCTATCATTTTTGAATAAAACAAATAGCCCTGACATCTGTTTGTTCTTGCTGCTGGCAATTGGGAGAAACAGGCTTGGTGAGGTTTGATAGCATAGCAGAGCTCTGTTACATCGTGGATTGATGAGGACCTCAATTGTAGCTGTATCTTAACTCCTCTCTGAGCCAGCTCCTCTGGGATAGTTGTACGTAAAATGAGGTGCGGGCTTTGCTTGAAGATCCTTAGGAGGCAGAAGTGCAATTTCTTCAAGAATTATCCATAGTGATAGAATTCAAGTGACTCATAAGAGTTGCTTTAGAAAAGAGGGCGAATAACTATTGATTGGCGAGGTGGTTTATTAGGTGATGAAGTTTGTTTGCTTTGTCTTGCAGGGGGCCTGTGCCTGTGTCTACATTTTTCAAGAATAACTTCTTGACCACAACACATCATAGACGCGGATTGCAGAATACAGGTGTGATGAGGCACTGTCGGTGCTTGAAGAAAAGGACACCTCTCTCTCAGGACATGCAATGATGCACTCCCCTGCGAGCCTGCTTCCAATAGTGGGACTCATGGTGATGAGACCTCCTAGCTGGATTTTTATGGCACAGTCTCTTAACGATTTTACAAATAAAAGAAAACCCCATGTAGGATATGTTTGCCCTTTCTCAGGATGTCGTGGTGATGGTGTCGGAGCTGCCAAGGACATGTTTGAGGCCTGGAGGGTAGTGCTTGTGCCCTTATATTATCAGCATAAATGTTCATGGGATTCATGAGAGGATTCTGGGACAAAGAAAGGAATTGAACCTGGTACCTGCTTTATAGGTGGTTTGGAAGAGACAAACATGTACAAGACCTGTGTTGAAGCTAAGCCATATTTGTAGGCATGTTTAAGATTCTCAAGAATCAGGAGAATTTGATATCTATCTGCAAATTCAGGATAACTTTTATAATACAATGTGTGAACTATAATTTGTTCCTTTGAAAGAACATGGAATGAAGAGAGGGAAGGCACGTTATGGTCTTGACTGTTGCTAACTTGTTTTGTGATGAGGAGCAAACCATCGACTTTTCTGTTTTTCATCAGGCTAATGGGGATCATCAAGCACAGATATTTCTGCCGGTGGGTTGTGATGATTAAACAAGGTAGTTTAGTGCAAAGAGCACAGGCTTGGGAATTAGACAGACCTGGGTCTGAATCCAAGCACTACCACTTCCTAGCTCTATGATCATTTACATAATTTAAATCTGTCCGAAGCTCATTTTAAAAATCTCTCAAATAAGATGATGACAACCAGCTTTGTGAGGTTGTTGGACTGATTTGAGATCATGTATATAAAGTGCCTACCACACTTCCTGGTACATAGCAGAAGTCCAGTAAATAGAAGCCATTATTATTATGTGAAATCATTTTGAAAATGCACTTCTCAAATGAAATGTAAGGTAGTATTACTGTTTGAAAATTAGATGACAGTAGTTTGCATTTCCCATGATCGGAAGCCAAAATATAAATGCATACTGCCTAACAGAAAGCTTGAAGAGAGGCAATAATTTGGAATTCATCTTCTTAAGATAAAAATTGGGCCATTACTGGAAAGTCATGGGAAAATTGTTCTTCTTTTAATATTTGAAAAATTTTCCACTTAGTGCATTGATGAATTTCAAAGCAATTGTACTTTTTCATAGCAGCCTGCCGCTGTGAGCCTCCTCTTATTGTATGTGAGCTATTTGTGCTGCCTGAGTTTTGTTTCTTAGGATAATTTCCCTTCATTTCCTTAGTGTTTTATTCTTCAGTTGTGTTGGAGGGAAAATGAATGGTAGGAACCAGAATACACTTTGACCTTCTTTACCAGTTTGTAAATTGCAGTTGGTAGGCTTTTGGAATAATAGCCCATTTCCAAAAAAAATAAGAGGTGATGTGAATTATTGCAGAGGTAAGAGGCAAGAAATTCGAATTTGGACTTTGACACCGGAACAAACTCAACTCCTTATTCTCAACAATTTATATTTTCTCAGGCAGATGTCCTCAACCTTGGCTGTCCATTAGGTCACCTGGGTAGCTTCATGCCATTCTGATGTCCAGGCTGCACCCCAGACAAATAAACCAGAACCTCTGGGGGTGGGACCTGGGCAGCCATAGTTTTTAAAGCTCTCCAGGTGATTCCAATGTGCAGTTAAGGTTGAGAGCACTGTAATGAATTCTAAGTGATTTGCAGATATTATCTAATTATTTTCTCAACGCCTCTGAGATAGGAAAGGGTCTTTGCAGTAGGATTTTTATTAGAAATGGAAAGAGTGAAGCACAGAGAGTCTGAATTTCTGCCTTAATTCCTTTAAGCTGGAGTGGCCAGTGCACATGCTGGCAGGGAGCTGGCAGGTGATCTGATGACTGACGAAGGCAGGTGGCCACTGGAGAGAACCAGAACCACAAACCTGGTTAAAGGTGGGCAGCTGCTTAGCACAGCATTGCCATGTGGCTGATTTTTCTAGTTCTTCCAGTTTTCAAATTTTCAGGGAAAGACAAAAGGTAAAGAAATTTCCTGATTTTTACGTATTGGCCACTAACTTAGAATTTTTAAAAACATCGTGCTGGCTAAACAAACATGCTTGCCAGCCAGTAGTTCCCAACCTCTGCTTCAAGGGTATTAAGGGCCAGCCTAAACACCTCGGCCAATTTTTAATAGATTTGCCTTCAGCCTCCTCATTCCTAAGTAATACTCTGGACTTGCATCAGACACCTTTTCTTACTCAATTTTATTTTCCCTGCAGGCATCCATTGCTTCAGGCTTTACATATATGATTTAGAAATTGTAAGTTCTTTTTAAAATTAGAGTTTGCTAGAGTTTATTTTTATATGTTGTAATCCTTTTTTTGTAATAAAACATTTAGAAACCCACTGTGATGGTTAAACTTGGCTGGGCCATGGTGCTCAGTGGTTTGACAGTTATATAATGATGTAATTTGGCAGTTGTATAATTATGTAATCAACTCCATGATGAGATCTACTATGAGCAGTGCCAGTCAGTTGAAAGGGAGTTTCCTTGGGGGTGTGGCTTGCCTCCAGTATATTAAAGGATGTTCCAGCCAAGCTCTTACTCTGGATCCTGCATCTGGCTCATCATCATCTGACCTCTGGTTCTTGGGACTTGAGCTAGCAGCTTACTGCCAATCTTGGGATACATCAACCTCTGCAGCCTGTGAGCTAGCCTGCCGTCTGACCTGTCGATCTTGGGTTCCTCAGCCCCTGTAGTTATGTGAGTCAGGAGAAGCCTCCATCCTGACACCTGACCCACGGACTTGGGACTTGCCAGCCTCTTCAACCACGTGAGCCATTTCCTTGAGATGAATCTCTCTCTCTCTACGCATCACTGATTTTGTTTCTCCAGAGAACCCAGCCTAAGACACCCACATTAATTTAATTATCTGTAGTCTAGCGTAAGAAATGTCAAAGCTAGGACTACAGCCTTATTGGGCACAGCAGGAACAGGGCTGGGAAAGGGCTAACACACAGACCTGGCCAGTCTCCTCCTGCCTGGGGTGGGGAGCCTGCAGTCCAGGATGATGATTTCCTGCAGGCAGCATTTGTAGACTCTGGGGTGCGCGAGAAATCCCTGGGGGACTGTGTTAAATTGCAGAGCGCCAGGCTCCTCCCCCAGCAATTCTGATTCATGAAGTTTCAGTTGGGACTCAGGAATCTGCATTTTTAAATAAGTTCTTCATGAGATTCGGATGTGCAGTTCCATAGACCACACTTTTGAGAAACACTGTTCTATTGGAGGTGTTTTTGGTCCCTTTGTCTGCTATTGTTTAGGAAGGTTTTGCAGTCATTTGGGCCACTGATCAATACAGGTGATAACTCAGGACACAATATAAAGTTCTTATGTGGAGAGAAGCTAACTTAAGCTATCCTTACATGATTGAGGTGCTTTTACCCTGAAAGGCTTTTATGGGTTCAATCATACATGAAAGAAAAAGGTGCTGTATTCTTTTTATATAGTTTGTGTACTTTATGAGCAGTATATATGTAGTAATATCCCATTTGTCTGGCATTGGGGGAGTGCATTGTGCAAATCACTCAAGGTTATTCTTCTAAGTAGCACATGCTTTCTGATTAATTTTCACCATTCTGATGGAAATATGTCTTGCTTTAGTATACATTTTCTTCCTTTTGCAAATAGAATTCACTAAAGATAATCAAACCTTTTCAGGGTCATCATTTATATTTTTAAATCTTTCAGGTCCTATTTAGGTTTGCTGAAGCCCCTGCACTGAATGGCCTCAAATGGCTTTGCTCTGTGAGTTCCTTAGTGGTTATAGTTTTTCTTTTCCCTCACTGTTACCAGTTATTTTTCTCTGCCATCATTGTGCCTGCTTCTAGGAGCCTTCTTCCAGTTTGCTGTGGGGTTGGAAAATCAGGCAACTACATACACATTATCAAGTAACAGTAAACAGGATCTGAGTGCGGCTTTGAGAAGCTTTTCTAGGAATAGAATGAATGAACTTTGCTGCACTGACTTGGTGATGTTAATGACTCAACTACCTTCCTCTAACTTGCTTCCTGAACCTGAACTGCAGTTGTCACATTTGTGACCTCCAGATAAGTGACATGTTGCTACAAATGATTTCCTTTAATCTATTAAACCGTTGTCTCCTCAAGTGTTTTTATATCTACAGTTCTATAATGTGAAACTTAAGTGGAGTAAAATTCAAGCAAAAATTTCTCAGGCCAATGTTTTGTGCACGATGAAGTGTTTTTGATTCAATGTTATTGTGATTTGGAGCTACAAATTAGTTGTATCCCCATGAAATTCAATTCTGCAGTCATCATGAAATAAAGGTGTTACAACTAATACTTACGCATGAGTTCTGATTTCCTGGGGGGTATCATATCACTTAGCATAGATTGCATTTATCATTTGTAGTAATGATCTTAGTCCTTTTCAGCTGCCCCAGATGAGGGTGTTCTACATACCATATGATCATCTCCTCCCCCAGTGGTGAGCCGTTAGAATGTCTCCCAGAAATAAGCAGAGATCTTCATTTTTGGGTGACCTTGGTAGGCCATGTGCTAATGGACAGAGGGAGAAGAAATGAAGCACAGAAAAGACAAACAGCAGCATGAAGCCAGGTGGTCCCATAGAAGAAAGAGGGAGGGAGAGAAAGAGTATATTGTTGCTGACCTGTAAGGCTCAGCTGTACTTTCTGTACTTTGTTTCTATGAGACGTCCCTGTATCCTCTCATATGTCCCCTTTTTACCTGAATGTGTTTGAGTAGGTTTCTGTGCCTTGTTACCAAAATGCCTTGTCCAAGCCCTGTTAATGCCTCTCTTTGCTAGAGCCAGGGTGACCTTACTTTTAGAGGTGGACTCCTTAGTTCAATTAGCATTTATTGATCACCTTCTGTTTGCAAGAGAAAAGCAGGAATTGTCTTCTCTTTTGGCTTAATCCAGTGGGTTACCAGAAGACTTGCACCATCATTACACAGACAGATGACAGTATTGGGCACTGACTGATGCTAATACCAAGTTACTTCTTGGGTAAATCAAACTGTGTTTACTTATATAAAGGATTCGGGGTGGGGTGGGGGCAGGTAAAGCACAGGATGGACAGTGGAGAGATTAACACAGAAATGTGTAGTTTGGTGGCCCCAGAACCTCACTAGCAGATGCATGCTTGTGGATGATAATGTCCGAATTGTTGTTAGCTGCTGTCAAGTCAGCCCCGACTCATGGTGACCCCATGCACAGGGGAACAAATTGTTGCCTGGCCTGTGCCATCCTTATCATCGGTTGGACTATTGTGATCCATGGAGTTTTCATTGACTGATTTTCAGAAGTAAATCACCAGGCCTTTCTTCCTAGTCTAGAAGCTTCACTGAAACCTGTTCAGCATCATAACAACACATAAGGCTCCACAGGCAGACAGGTGGAGATTGTACATGAGGTGCACTGGCTGGGAAACAAATCCAGGTATTCCCCATGGAAGACAAGAATTCTACTACTGAACCACCACTACACCCAATGTCTGAATTTGTTAGGGGCACATCATACCTTTTGGAAGATAACAGCTTCTGTCTAGGCCTAACCCTGCATACAGAAGAATGTAGCTGGCCTACATGGACCACCTGCACTGAGTCAGGGGTAGCTTCTCAGCACCCAGTGATTGCAGGGTACAGGACATGGAGGCATAATCTACCTTCAGACTCTTTTGACTATTACAGCTTGGTCTGAGGACATCCCTAATTCAAGGTTCCAAGTCCAGTATAGTGTTTCCCAGACATCTGTGGGGGTGTGGGGAGGGCATGCTGACTAGTGCGGGCAAATCTTGCAAACTATATAACACAAGCTTTGGAGAGACAGAGGCAGGTGGAGAGAGGGAGTCCTATGAATGACAAACCCCGTGTGATGGGAAATCAGAATAGAAATTAAGCCAACATAGTGATTGATAATACCCCTATGCCTACAAGGAAGACCAGTTAATACGACTATTATTTGAATTTACACGCTAACCACTAAGGCCAAAGATGAAGAAATAGAAGATTTTCACCCACTTCTGCAGTCAGCAATTGATCAAACATGCAATCAAGATGCATTGATAATTACTGGCAATTGGAATGTGAAAGTTGGAAACAAAGAAAAAGGACTGGTAGTTGGAAAAATATGGCCTTGGTGATAGAAACGATGCTGGGAATCACATGACAGAATTTTGCAAGATCAACGACTTCTTCATTGCAAATACCTTTTTTCAACAACATAAATGGCAACAATATATGTGGACCTCACCAGATGGAATACACAGGAATCAAATTGACTAAATCTGTGGAAAAAGACTATGGAAAATCTCAATATCATCAGACAGAACAAGGCCGGGAGCCGATTGTTTAACAGACCAATTATTCAAATGCAAGTTGAAGTTGAAGAAAATTAGAACAAGTCCACGAGTGCCAACATACGACCTTGAGTGCATCCCACCTGAATTTGGAGACCACCTCAAGAATAGATTTGATGCATTGAACACTAATAACCAAAGACCAGGTGAGTTGTGGAATGACATCAAGAACATCATACATGAAGAAAGCAAGAGGTCATTAAAAAGAGGAAAGAAAGAAAAGACCAAAATGGGTGTCAGAAGAGACTCTGAAAGTTGCTCTTGAACGTAGAGTAGCTAAAGCAAAAGAAAGAGATGATGTAGTGAAAGAGCTGAACGAAACATTTCCAAGGGCAGCTCAGGAAGACAAAGTATTATAATTAAATGTACAAAGACCTGGAGATAGAAGACCAAAAGGGAAGAATACGCTCAACATTTCTCCAGCTGAAAGAACAGAAGCAAAAATTCAAGCCTGGAGTTTTAATGGATTCTACAGGAAGAATATTAAATGACGCAGGAAGCATCAAAAAAGATGGGAAGAATACACAGAGTCACTGTACGAAAAAAGAATTGGTTGACATTCAACCATTTCAGGGGGTAGCATATGATAAAGAATTGATGGTACTGAAGAAAGAGGTCCAAGCTGCACTGAAGGCATTCGTGAAAAACAAGGTTCCAGGAATTGACAGAATACCAGTAGAGATGTTTCAGCAAACAGATGCAGCACTGGAAGTACTCACTTGTCTATGCCAAGAAATTTGGAAGACAGCTTCATGGCCAACTGACTGGAAGAGATCCATATGTACCCATTCCAAAGAAAGGTGATCCAACAGAATGTGGGAATTATCTAACAATATCATTAATATTACCTACAAGTAAAATTTTGCTGAAGATCATTCAAAAGTGATTGAAGTAGTACATTGACAGGGAACTACCAGAAGTTCAAGCTGAATTCAGAAGAGGATGTGGAACTAGGGATAACATTGCTGATGTCAGATGCATCATGGCTGAAAGCAAAGAATACCAGAAAGATGTTTACCTGAGTTTTGTTGATTATGCAAAGGCA